ATGGGGGCCGTCGTTGCCGTGGAAATCGTCGGAAATCGGTGTCGGTCCTCCAGGCGGGGCGGAAATCGCCCAGCAGGTTCGGGAAGCTCCACTGGTCATTGCCGCATGGCGGCCCAGCCGTCGTAGTCCTCGGGGACGCCCCGCAGGAACATCTGGCCATTGATGGCGCTTGGAACCGCCGGTGACCTTGCCACGGGGCACCATGATCTCGGGGTTTTCCGCGGTGCCGTGCCCGGTGAACTGCCAGTTGTGGTCGCTGGTCATCACGTCGGTGGCGGTGGCGTAGCCGAACTTCACCTCGTCGGCAGGTGGTCGAAGTGGGGTAATCGGGGCCGGCCTCGATCAGGAGCACGGAGGTTGCTGGGGTCTTCGCTCAGCGGGGTGGCGACAAATGGAGCCGGCGGAGCCGGCGCCGATGACGATGTAGTCGTACTTCAAGACGATCCTCCTCGGGTCAGGAGTGTTCAGTTTCAGGAGAATGCGGGTTCAGGGTGCTGGGTTTCCGCAATCATACTTGAAAACACGGGGGCTGTTCCACAGTTGGAGAACGCCGGGCCACTGCAACGGGGGACGCTTTTGTATAATGGGCTGCTGGCAACCTTAATAAGATGAGACAGGAACGCCGGAAGGGAGCGCCGAATGAAGAGCTTCAGCCTGAGCATTGAGACGCCGTGCTGGACGCCGCGCGTCGAAAAGGCGACGAGGGAGAATACGACGCCTGGATGAGCTGTTGCGCGGCTGGCTGCCAGACTACGCCGGCGACGAGCGAGTGAGGAACGCCGGAGAGCGCAAGGCGCGAACGGAGCGAGTGATGACTGCTATCCGCGAGCTGCGCGAGCATATTGACACCAGCGGTCCCAAGCCAACGCGAGATGAGATGAATGCCCGAGGAGCACGACATTGAGCGAAATTGAGGAAGTTGCGGACGTAGCCGAAAAAATGGCTCCGCTTATCATCAGAATCCTCGCCCATCTTCCTATCCCGTGGAAAGGCAAACAAACCCAACAGCCCTCGGATCAACAGATGCCGAGTACGGACGTGGCGGCAATCAAGGAGTTGCAGGAGAGCGGTTTTCAGGTTGCTTATTACAAAGGGGCTGCGATTGAAGTTGAAGCGTTCGAGCAGGCGCAGGACAAGGAGGCTGATAGATTGGCCTCGAATGCGCTAAACGCAGTCTCGATGATTGATCCCGATTCGGATTGGACAAAGGAAGATGTGGATGCCCTCGATCCAGAGTTTCTGCACCGGTGGACTTTGGAGGCCAGCAACGTCTCCGACGAAACGCTACAACTGCTGTGGGCGAAGTTATTAGAAGGTGAACTCAATTCTTCGGGTAGTGTGTCAAAACGATACAATGTCAATCGCGCGAGACATGAACAAGGCACGGGCCGAAGAATTTCGGCTGCTATGTTCGGCGGCCCTGTACAACTGGAATGGAAGTCCGTCGATTGTAGTCGGGTTGGGCAGTCCGGGTGGCAACTCGCTTCAACCCTATGGGTTGTCATACGACGTTTTGATGAAACTGGCTCACCACCGTCTCATCGTGAACGATATGACCTCGCGACGAACGATAACCGGAGGCGCTGTAGGCCCGATTTATCCAGTGAAGCATCAAGGAAAGTCGTACGTGCTGCGAGCGTCGCCCCAGCACAATACTGCCTCTAGCCTCGAAATCAGCGGCATTTTGTTCACCCCTGCCGGCGAAGAGTTAGCCCGCGTGGTCGAGCACATCCCTTTGCCGGAGTACACGCAGGCCATGTTCGAGGATTTGGAAAAACAGGGCTGGGATGTTCTACCAGTGTCCCGACGCCTCATGACGAGTAAATTTCGTTTGATTTCCGTAACATTAATTGCAAGGGAGCTGACGGAATGGTTCCCCTGCCACTGTTCGCGGACGCCCAGAGGCATCGTTTTGCACGTCTCTCGGCCATCAGGAATCCCTTTGCGGAAACCCGCGCAGTCAAACGGAGGTCCATATGCCTCAAAACCATCCGACCGACGACCCCCGGGCTGACGTGGCAGGGCTATTTCGTTTCACGATACCGATGATGGCGGATGCCGTGGCGCATCCGTACGAGGACCGTCACTGTTTCCGCCCGATGCCCTACGGGAACGGGCGGCGATGCCGGCCGGCGTGCGATTTCTTTCCGGAGCGACACCGAGACGGTGGCCGGCTCGGTTGTGGCGCGGCGGAATCCAGCCCATATGACCTTTATTGCGAGGGTAAGGTTCACTGGCTCGGCGTGCGCTGGAGGGCGGGACGGTTCCGGTTTGATGGACTGCCGGCCGCGAGAAGAGCTGGTGGGAGTTGTGGCTGCCGCAGCATGGGGAGTTCCGGCTGCGGGCTGGAGGTTGTCCGACGGGGCCGCTGGAACCATACGACGACCGAAGGCCACGCTGGTCGCCTACGGCAGTTCCATCACCCACTGCCGGACAGCGCGCGAGTCCCAGCCTGACCTGGCCGGCGGTGGCGGCCAGGGCGGTGCGACCTCAACCTGACCTGCCTGGGCTATGGCGGAGGGTGCCACCTGGAGCCGATGGTGGCGCGATGATGCGGGACCTGCCGGCGGACTATCTGACGATGAAGGTGGGCATCAACGTGTACAACGCGGCCAGCATCGGGCTGCGTACTTTCATGCCGGCCATGATTGGGTTTGTGCACACGCTGCGCGAGAAGCACCCGGACACGCCGCTGGCCGTCATCTCGCCGATCTACTCGGCGTGGCGAGAGAACACGGAAAACCCCGTCGGGTTCACCCTGTCGGCCATGCGCGCGGAAGTCGCCGAAGCAGTCGCGCTACTTCAGGGTCACGGTGACCGGAACCTCCACTACGTGGACGGATTGGAACTTTTCGGCCCGGAGATGGCCCACCTGCTGCCCGACGACCTGCATCCGACGCCGAGGGTTACCAGGCGATGGGGTGGAAACTTCGTGGAGAAGGTGGCATCTACGGTGTTTGGTCGGGTTCCGGTGGCGGCGTGATCCACTCGGAGATGGCGCAGCCGGGTTCGCGTTTGCGAGGGAACTCCCGGCAGACGCGGGGGCGGTGGTCGTAGATCCGGCAAGCGGATGTGGCGGAGTCAAGCATCGGGCAGCATTCCGCGCCTGATCCAGGAACAGCACGTTGCCGCCGCCGTCGGAGGTGCGGTTGACCCTGGCTTCCGTACCCAGCCCGGCGGCCAGCCGGTAGAAACCGGCTACCTCGTCCGGGTCCAGCCGCAGGATGATGGGGCCGCGACAGCACATGCCGCGGCACTCCTTCATGCAGATGCGGCTGGCTTCCTCCGGGAGAAGAGACGGTCCGGGCGGGGGAAGAGACCGGTCGGGCGGGGGAAGAGACGAGGATGGCACGAGGCGACGGTTCGCCGGCTACTTGCCGTCTTCGATGCTGACGGTGATGATGGCGTTGGCAATGAGGGTGCCGTCGCTGCCGTCATCGTTGAGGAGTTGCAGGCCGCCCACGACGACGTCCACGTTGGCGCGGCCATGGGGCAGGGAGTCGGCCACCTCATCGGCGTTGACCTTCTCGGGGTGGGGCGCGCCGATGGTCACGTTGACCGTCATATCGTCGGCGGTGGCGCCCACCAGGCGGGAAAAGCCGAGGCTGCTGTGGTGGATGGCGTCGAATACGGCCCGCTTGGCCGCGAGGGTGTAATCCAGGCCGTGAACATCCACGCCCATACCCATTTCGGTAACGCAACGAACGAGAGCCATATTGTGACCTCCTGAACGGTCGATTGGTCTGTCTAGGGGAAGGCGGCGGGCTGTGGGCGCCCGTGCCGCCGTTGGGCCATTTAACGGCAGCGCCTGTGGCAAGTCAAGGCGGGGCCGTTGCTTACCGTACCCGGTTTGTCATCGCGAGAGGCGCAGCGCGGTGGGGATCTCGTTGAATTGAGCGAGGATTCCTGCGGCGACGAGATTGCCGCGCTGCGCTCGCAATGACGGGAGGGGGCGTTCGCTATGACCAGGGGGCGTTCGCTATGACAGGGGGTGGCTCGCTATGACCGGTGGGTTGCTTGCAATGAGCGATTGGGCAAAGTGGGTACGGGTGAGGGGGCCGTTGCTATAATTCACGTCTATGGGTAACCGGCTAGGACCCCTGGTCAGATGATCTCCCGTTTTCTGGCGCTGTCAGTGGCAGTGGTGGCAGTGGCGGTTGCGGCCGTCGGGTGCGCCGGCGCGGCCACGGGAGAAGACGCGCCGGCGGGCACGCTGACCGTGTTCGCCGCGGCGTCGCTGGCAGAGTCGTTCCGCGCCCTTGCAGCGGCCTTCGAGGCTGACCATCCCGGCCTCCGGGTAACATTCAACTTCGCGGGGAGCCAGGCGTTGCGCACCCAACTGGAGCACGGAGCGCGGGCGGACGTGTTCGCGTCGGCCGACTGGGAGCAGATGGCAGCGGTGAGGAAGGCAAACCTCCTGGGGAATGCTCCGGAATACTTCGCCACCAACCGATTGGCGGTGGTGACGCCGGTCACATCGGGCGCGGTTGAGAGCCTGACCGACCTGGCGCACGCGGGGGTGAGCATCGCCGTCGCATCCGCGGAAGTACCCGCCGGCGCGTACACCCGCGCCACGCTCGGCCTGATGGCGGAGTCGGGCGAGTACCCGTCCGAATTCGCCGAGCGGGTTCAGGTCAACGTGGTGACCAACGAGACCAACGTGCGCGGAGTGGCGCAAAAGGTGGCGCTGGGTGAGGTGGACGCCGGCATAGTCTACGAGACCGATGCGGAGGCCGCGCAGTACGCCGAGTCGTTTCGCGTGATCGAGATTCCGCTGCAATTCAACCCGGCGGCCGAGTATCCCATCGCGGCGCTGGCGGGAGCCGCCGACTTGCAGATCGCGCTGGACTTCATCGCTTTCGTGCAGAGCGACGGCGGGCAGACCATCCTACGGGAATACGGTTTTGCGCCGCCGGTCAACGTGGCCTGCCCCTGTGCCGGCCACAGCCAGCCCGGGCAAAACCGCGCGGCGGCCGTACCCTAGACGTATGTTCAGCCGGCTGTTCGGACACGCCCGCGAAAACGGATACGGCCAAGGCGCGTCACTGGGAGCGCTGGCCCCCGCGGGCGTCGCGGCGACGGTCATCTATGTGCTGTTCATCGGGCTGCCCATCGTGGCGCTGCTGGTGCGGGCGGGACAGCAGGATGGGTTCCTGGCGGGACTGACGGGAGGGTTGGTGGTTCAGGCGCTGCGCCTGACCGTCGTGACGAGCCTCGTGAGCATGGTAGTCGTAGTAGTGGTGGGAACGCCCTTTGCCTTGCTGCTGGCCCGGAGGCGGTCGACGGTGTTACGGGTGATCGACACCTTCGTCGAGCTGCCCATCGTGCTGCCGCCGGTGGTGGCCGGCGTGGCGATGCTCATGGCCTTCGGGCGGAACGGATTGCTGGGCCCGGCGCTTTCCGCCGCGGGAGTGACGTTGCCGTTCACCACTGCGGCCGTGATCTTCGCGCAGGTATTCGTGGCCGCGCCCTTCTACATCCGGGCAGCGCGCATTGGGTTCGCCGGGGTTGATCCGACCTACGAGGAAGTGTCGCAGACCCTGGGGGTTTCGCCGTGGGCGACGTTCTGGCGGCTGACGCTGCCGGTGGCGTGGCCGTCGCTGCTGACCGGACTGACGCTGGCGTGGGCGCGGGCGGTGTCGGAGTTCGGCGCGACGATCATGTTCGCCGGGAACCTGTCGGGGCGCACGCAGACCATGCCGCTGGCGATCATGACCGCCATGGAGTCGAGCCTGGGGTCGGCGCTGGCACTGTCGGTTCTACTGGTGGCGATATCCGCTGTGGCGCTGGCGGCGTTGAGCTTCCTGCTGCGGCGAAACGGGAGCACGGCATGAAAGATCGGCAACACCATGAGTGATCGGCAGCATTATGAGTGATCGGCAGCATTGCGGCGGCGCTTCCGGCCGGTTTGCGGTCAACTTGGGAGGGTTTCGCCTGGAGCTGGCGTTTGAAGTGGATGCCGGGCAGATCCTGGTGCTCTTCGGGCCATCGGGAGCGGGCAAGACCACGGCGCTGCGCACCATAGCCGGACTGGTCCGGCCAGACGCCGGCCGCATCGTCATCGCGGGCCGGACGGTATATGCAGAGGACCAGAGCCGGGATGAACCGCAGGTCTGGGTTGAGCCGCACCACCGGGGCGTCGGTTATGTCACACAGCAGAATCATCTTTTCCCGCACCTGACCGTGCGGCAGAACATCGCCTACGGCCTGAAGGAGCGGCGAAGCGCAGCCACGCGCCAACGGGTGATGGGATTGGTCGAAAGACTACGGCTGGACGGGCTGGAGGACCGGCGAGTCTGGCAGTTGTCGGGCGGGCAACAGCAGCGGGCGGCGCTGGCCCGGGCACTGGCTCCGTCGCCGCACCTGCTGCTGCTGGACGAGCCGTTCGCCGCGCTGGACATGGAGTTGCGACGCGATGTGGGCTCGCAGCTGCGTGCAACGATCCGTCAGCTGAACGTGCCGGTGGTCCTGGTAACGCACAGCAGGGAGGAGGCCCTGGCTTTGGGCGATGACGTGCAGATCATTGACGCCGGGGTGACGGTGGCGTCCGGTCCGCCATTGACGGCGCTGGAGCAGCCGGGCCGAGGCCGCGTGGCGCGGTTGGTTGGGGTGGAGAACCTGCTGGAGATGCGGGTGACCGCTCGCCGGCCCCAGGACGGCACCATGGTCTGCGCGGCCGGCGAGCACCTGCTGGAGACGCCCCTGGCGGATGGGTGCGCGGTGGGGGATCCGGTGACCGTCGGGATCCGCGCTTCGGACATCATCCTGGCGTCGGGGCCGTTGCCGCAATCCTCGGCGCGGAATACCTGGGCCGGCGTGGTGTCGGCGGTGACCCCCAGACCGCCCGGTTACGAGGTAACGCTGGACTGCGACGGGGCAGGGCTGCGGTGCCACATCACAGGGACGTCATTGGAGGCGATGGGGATCGCGATCGGGCTGCCGGTGTGGGCAATTTTCAAGGCGTCCTCATGCTTCCTGCTGAATGAATAGGCGGGCGTAACTGTTCAGATTCGAGGTGGCCGTTCAACACCAAAACCGGATTTGCACAAAAATGAGGATTTGAGGCTAACCGACCGAAACTCTGAACAAAAATACCCCCAAGAGACAGGCTGCGATTACCCGCAAATCGCCGCAGTCGCCATCAACGCCGGAAAGATGCTTCAGACATTCTGAAAGACGGCACCGATGCAGTTGACCAAGCAGATACCTTCTTGCACAATCAAAGCCTCGGCTTACGTCAGCATGTCTCCCAAAATAGAGAGGCTCACCATGACAACCATACGAAAACTCAAGGACCGTTCCAAAACGCTCCACAGTGAAGCGATCCGGGCATCCCAAGCCGGACAGCAGGCCGAGGCCCGTTCCAAAGCATGGCAAGCCGCCCTCAACGTCATCGAAGCAGCAGCCCTCAGTGAACAGTTGCAGCTAGACCCTGAGCAGACGCCGGCCGAAACGGTCCTGCAATTCAGCCTCCGGATCAAAGACCGACGGATCTTCACCCTTTTCGCCAGCGCTGAGGCCCTCGACCCAGATACCTTCATTGAGCCGCTCGACTCCGAAGACCTCCACGAACGGGTCAGCCTTACCGGCGAATTCATCCAACGCATGGGCCACCATCTGAGCCGCTGAATCGGAATACGGCCGCGGAGAACGCAATTGACCACCGCCACCTACCGAACGGCCGCCCAGCATCTGCTACAACAGGCCAACGCCGAGTTCCAATTCGGAGACCTCAGGCAGGCCTCCGAAAAAGCTTGGGGAGCGGTCGCCCAAATTATTAAGGCTTATGCAGAGAGTCTGACACCGCCAGCCTACCACCGCAGCCACACAAGCCTGAAAAGGATAGCAAGAAGCCTCGCCCAGAGCACCGGCAACCAGGATTTCCTAGCGTTCTTCAACGCCGTCGAGCAGCTTCACGTCAATTTCTACGAAAACACCCGCAGCGCCGGCGCCGTCCAAGCCGGCATGATGGATGCCGCCGACTACGTCGCGCTTGCCGAAACGCAACTCCCCGCGCCGCCATAACATCCGGCATGCCCGTCACCCTTCAGCCTGTCAGCAACGGCGCCAAGCGCCCCAACATTCGTCGCGGGACTACCGCCGCCATTGTCGAACTACCCTAATGGCTGGGGTCAAGTTGAACAAAAATCTGCCCCAAACCGATCATCAGTGCAAAGCCATCAAAACCGTCATACCGGCGAAAGCAGGTATCCGGCAAATAGTTGCTGGTCTCACGTTTCTCGGGGCGCGGGATCTCTGGGTTCCTGCTTTCGCAGGAACGACGTGTTCCCGATAAGGAAACCTGATAACTCGGCACACTTACAGGCGGGCAGAAGGCGGGCCCGATCACGCGGCGCGGGATATAATCTTCGCGACACAAACCGGAGGACGACTGGCGATGCCTGGCTACAAGGGTATTTTGTTCGACATGGATGGAGTGCTGGTGGACAGCGAGCCGCTGTTTCACAAGGCGGTGAACGTGATGGTGGAACGGTGCGGGGCAGCGCCGATTACCGAAGAGGAGAACAACCGTTACCTGCTGGGCACGACGGTCGAGGAGACCTGGGTGCGGGTGAAGGAACTGCGGGGGATACCGGAGACGCCGGCGGAATTGTTGGCCGGCTACAACGAGGTGGTTAAGGACGTGCTGCGCTCGGACCTGGTGGCACGGCCGGGAGTGAGAGCGCTGATCGCGGAAGCACAGCGGCGGGGCCTGCCAACCGCGGTGGCATCGTCATCCCTGCGGGAATGGGTGAACCTGAAGCTGTCGGTGATCGGGCTTGCCGAGGCATTCCCGGTCGCTTTGGGCGGAGACGACATTGAAAATGGCAAGCCGGCCCCGGACATCTACATCAAGGCGGCGGGGCTGATCGGCCTGGAAGCAACGGAGTGCGTGGCCATTGAAGACTCGCCCATTGGCCTGGCGGCGGCCAGCGCGTCGGGGGCGTACACCGTCTGCACCCTCACCGATTCCACCCGTCACCTGGATCTCTCGGCGGCGGACACCATCATAGAGAACCTGGAACACTTCGATTACGGGTTGCTGGCGGAGGGAAGTTAGCCCCGGCGTCGCCGTCGACGATACCCGGGCAGGCCCGGATAGGTTCCATCCTGGAGCACCCATTGCAGCCGCTGCGTCAGCGCCCTGGCCTCGCAGGCATCCATGAGGGTCAGCAGTTCGGCCACGTCACCCGTGGGCGCCAACAGCTGTCCGCAGAGCCAGCGCACAGATTCCAGGAGATGATCGGGTATGGGTTCGTCGGCGAAGTCCCAGATGGCGGTGCGGATCTTGGTATCGGCGTGGAAGGTGAGGCCGTGGTCGATGCCCCACAGCTTGCCGTCCGGAGCGCGGAGGACGTGTTCAGGCTTGCGGTCGGTGTTGTTGGCAACCAGGTCGAAGCAGCAGATGGCGCGTAGCTGGTCAGCGTCGCACTCGCTGAGTTCCTCGCGCGTAATGGTGTAGTAGTTCTCCCTGGGGTTGTGGTCAACGTAGAGCTGGACGGAGCCGATTCCGCCCGGGCCCTCCCGGATGACGGTGAGCGGGATGAAATCCCAACCCAGGATGTGGCTGAGCAGGTAGGCGGCGTACTCGCGCTGGTAGAGAGTGCCGGACGGGAAATCCCACAAGGGCCATTCGCCCTGCTTGGGCTTGTAGATCGCCAGGCAGTAACGATCGTCGAGGGCGATCTCGGCGAGGTAGGTGTAGTTGGAGCCCTGCCGCGTAAGGTCACAGCTCCGGATCTCCCCGCGCTGCAGCAGGTCAAGGTCAGATGGCCCGTCGGTGACCACGGGAAACGTGGGCTGAAGGCTGGCTAGCCCGTTTCGAATACGGCGTGGCCGTCAGCACGAGCGCAGCGGTGGCCGTCGGGATCTATGGGCGCGCCACACAGGAAGCAAGGGGGCCGTCCGGCAGCGCAAATCCGCAATGCCTGGTCGGCCAGCGCCGAAGACTGTGCCATAGTAATCCAGAAGCTGACCGAAGTCTGGGCGCCGGCGTCAGGATCATCCTCGTCGCCCTCGTAGGCGTGGATGACAAAGCAGTTCGCTTCCTTGTCGTACTCCAACTGCATCTGGCGAGCGTGAAAGTCCTGTTCCAACGGGTCGCCCATCCAGGGAGTTTCTCCGGGGGCGCTGTCTTTATCGACGACGGTTTCGCCAATCTGCTTGACGGCCTGCTGGAGATAAAGGGCCAGTTGGACAAGCTGCTCTTTCTCGAGCCAGATAAAGGATTGGGCTCTTCCGGCCTCCGCAACCAGCCGGAAGGTACGACGACCGGGGCGCCCGAAGGTTTCGGCGGAAACGGACTGGGCGGCCCCCATCTTGTAGCGGACTTCGCGCTCTGCCATAGGGCTATGATAGTCGCCGCTTCTTAAGCTGGCAAGTGGCGCGGGTTTGTCTTTGAATCAGCTTTCCTGGGTATCGGCTTCCCTGGCCCATAAACGCCGATTGCCCCGGGTCCGGCGGACATCGATACGTCCTCATTCTCACTCCGTTCGTCGGAGGCAAGCGCGTAATACACGACAACAGGTTCCGCCGAACGTGGGTTGTCCCACGCAATTTTTCAGGAGCGCATTTGTAGGCGGACTCGCGGCCGACGCCTAAAAGCGTGCCGAGCAGTAGACACCGATTCACGTATTCCCGCAAAGGACCTTTCCGCAATGTCTGGTCATTTTCAGCGGCATTTTTACACCGCTCGGCGGGTGAAATCGGTGGCTTTGCACATGAACATACCTCACGGGAAGCCAGCTTTTTTTCAACAGCGCACCAACAATACGGCGGAAAACGGCGGGCAATTATGCGCACATCATCCACATAGCGAGTGCAAAACCATGATTGCACAGACTTTGCTCAGCACGGCGCATATCATCCGACCGGACCGCCGCGGGATCACGCTCAAGGTAGCCTTCGTGATCCACATTGACACATAATACGCAACATTCGTGCGTAAATACGGCGATATGCCTACGCTGACCAGGGGCACCACTGCCGATTCAGCATCCCAAATGCCCGTACGCCCAGAGATTGCTCATCATGCGAATAATGGCCACGAAAATTTCCACGGTTGAACCGGGGGGTATAGCGCCGCTACCGGGAGATTGCCACGGGGATCGGACCGCCTGTTGGCTCGACACCGGACAAATCCGTTGGAAGCAGCGACGAAATGAAAATGGCAATTCCATGCGCGTCATCCGAATTCCAGGAGGAATCCGCATAAATGCAGATTGGTCACAAAACCGCGATAGCCGTTACCCAACACGTTACGCTGCTGCTCAGGAATTCCTGGCGGTTCGCGCTGATGGGGACGTTGTTCGCGCTGACATGCTGGGAGGTCAATCCGGGAGCAACGCCCAAGCTGGAGGACGATGTCACGAGGCCCCCGGCGGCGGTTGCCGTTGCAGTGATAAAAGCGGATCAGGGCGATTAGAAGACCCTACGGCATTGCGGCCACGGAGCACCTCGCCAGGCGGCAGTACGGATCTCAGCCAGACATAAAAGCATCGCGACTGCGAACCTCAAGGGCAGCCGTGCGCGGGCTCCTGAGGACAACAGAAAGCCGGTCCCCGGGGAGACCGGCTTCAATTTTTGTACGAGGACGTTTTTGTACGAGGACGTGCGGCAGATACCGCACTGCCCGGACCACCATCACACGGCTGTGGATTACGGGCAGTCCGGTGGTTTACAGACCGCCCAGGTACTCGTTGTAACTGGCCGCATCGAGCAGCGCGTCGAGCTCGGCCGGGTCGTTCATCCGGACCCGCAGCATCCAACCGTCGCCGAACGGGTCGGTGTTGACCAGTTCAGGCTCCTGGGCCAAGCGCCCGTTGATTTCGGTGACCTCGCCGCTGACGGGCGAAAACAGGTCGGACACGGCTTTGACGGATTCGATCTCTCCCATCTTGTCCATGTGCCCAACTGGGGCGCCGGTCCCGGGCAACTCCACGTACACGACGTCGCCCAACTGGTCCTGCGCGTAGTGGGTGATGCCGACCAGGACGGTTCCGGCGGTGGCATCTTCAACCAGGGCCCATTCATGCTCCCTGGAGTATTTGCGGTCTTCGGGATTCACTTTGTCTGATACCTCCCAAGGGTGGGGTAGTCAACGATTTTGGCTATTGGCGCTGCCGCAGGTCGCGGCAACAGGCACCAGCTTGGAACGGGCGCTAGCTTGGTCGGTGGTAAAAAGGCAGTTCCGCCGTGGTGACCTGGGCCTGACGCCCGCGAATGTCCGCAGTGAGGACCGTGTCCGGGGCAGCGTGGGAGGCGTCGACAAAGGCCATGGCGATGCACTGCTCCAGGGTGGGCGAATAGCTGCCGCTGGCGACCGTGCCGACCACCTGGCCATCGGCCAACACGTCATAACCGGCGCGGGGAGCGCTACGCCCGGGCAGGGTCAGTCCGACCAAGCGGCGTGCGGTTCCGTAAACTCGCTGGTGGTCCAACACGTCGGCGCCGTTGTAGCCGCCGTCGCGCCGGACGAACCGGCCGAGGCCGGCCTCGATGGGGGTGATGGTGTCGGACAGCTCGTGGCCGTGCAGAGGAAGGCCGGCCTCCAGCCGGAGAACGTCCCGCGCGCCCAGGCCAGCGGGTACCGCGCCGGCTGCGGTGAGCTTGTTCCAGATGGCGACGGCGTCGGCGGAACCGAGGGCGAGTTCGAATCCGTCCTCTCCGGTGTAGCCGGTGCGCCCGATGAAAACGCGGCGACCGTCGATGTGGCCGCGGCCCCAGGTGAAGGGGCGCAGCAGGGACGGCGCCGGACTGCGGCCCGGGTTGCGGGCCAGGCGAGCGCCGGGGGTGAAGTCCTCGCACAGCTGGTCGACGATCTCCACGGCTCGGGGTCCCTGGACCGCGATGAGGCTGGTGAGCATGGTGCGATCGGTGATATGCACGCCGCGTCCGTCGAAATGGAGGGCGAGCTGCCGGTCGAACCAGAGGGCCACTTCGGGCCGGTTGCCGGCGTTGGGAATGAGCAGGAATTCGTCCTCGGAGAGGCGGTAGAAGATGGTGTCGTCGATGACGCCGCCCCGCTCGTTGCAGATGAAGCAGTAGCGGGCGCGGCCCACGCGCAGGCCGGATGCGGAGCCGGTGAGCAGGATGTCCAGCAGCGCGGCCGCATTGGGGCCGCCGATGTGCAGTCGGCCCATGTGTGAAACGTCGAACAGGCCGGCCGCGTTGCGCACGGCCGCCACCTCGGCGATCACCCCCTCATACTGCACCGGCATGTCCCATCCGCCGAAGGGCACCATGCGGGCGCCAAGGGCTACATGGGTATCGTAGAGCGCGGTGCGGAGATTCTCGGCAACAGTGGTATCAGCAGCCATAAGTTATTCGAGCGGCGGTGTGACGTTGGTTGGAAGGGCCAAGGCGTGACGTTGGAAGGCCCCAAGAATCATGATACCGCCAAGACCGTTGAGGCGCAATGACGAACAGGCTCGGTAGCAGGGTCATTCGATTATTGTCGTCGGGATTCACACGGCCGACAGCAACGGTGGGATGCGACCGCTTTCGGCGAGCGGCGGCGCCGTGGCGACGGGATTGCCACGCTGCGCTCGCAATGACATTTGGGTTGCTCGCAATGACATTTTGGGTCGGTCGGAATGACCGACGGTGCAAAGTGGGTACGCGTGAGCGAACACGCTCGGGACGCTTGCGCTTTCATCGTGCGCCATCAGGAGAATGCTACGGAGGCCGGTGGGTGATGCGGCTGCAAAATTGACGATTGCGGATCGCGGGCTTTATCGAGTTGACGTGGCCGCCGGGCTGCGCGGACAATTGCCAGCGTCCGCGCCGGCAATAATGAGGAGTCGGGCACGCATGGGATGTTGTAGCAAATGCCATTGAGGGAACGCCTGGGCCAGGGTGGCCGCCACGGACCGTTACAACACATGGTCACACGAGACTAACCCGCGCACGGGACGAACACGGCGCGAACCGATTTGCCACCCAGGAGTCGACGGATGAATCAGCAGCCGGAACCGGCGGAGCACGAGGACGAGGAGCGGAAAATCTCCACGGCGGGGGAGTTGGCGACCTGCCTGAGAGAAAACCGGCAACTGGCCGCAGCGTTGGTCAGTGAGCTGGCGGACGAGGTTGAGACGGAAGGTTATGATCCGATCAATGACATATTGGAAAAGGGGTATGAAGATTCGTTCTACATGAACGACCTGACGGGTTTCGACGCAGAATTCGAAGCCATCATGATAACCCCGATGATCGAGATCGGGACCGATTGGGATCAGCCATTTGACGACCATGATTTTGGCACCAGCGTCGATAGCCTATTAGAGGGCGTGGGAGTTGACGAAGAGTTTGCAGTCCAATTCCGACACTGTCTGATGCAGGAGTGCCTGCAGCTGGTTGAGAGAGAAGGGCGCGCAAGCACGGATTCCGGTTTGGTCGATATTTTTGGCCTCAAGGTCTTCGAGGTCTACAAACCACTGCAGCCGGCGCTGCAAGAGGAACTGGAGCTGCGGCTAATGAATGACGACGAGGATAGTTGGGACTCGGGTACTGCCGGCGAGTTGTTGCGGGATGCGCTGGAAAGCGCAATGCAAAGGGCGGCGCCCCTCATAGCCGAGTGGATGGCGGAAACCATCCAGGCAGAAGGAGAGGCGTTAGCGTTCAACGCCCTGGAACGGATGATTGCTTGAACCGGGGAGAGCATTGAACCCAGCGAGGGAGCTCGCGGGGCATAATTGCACCGGCAAAAACTGGGCGGTGGCGTCACATTGTCGAACCGCCCGGCGTTCCGGTGTTCCGTCGCAGCCCGGCGGCTGCCGTCGTTTTACAGCACTGCTCCGCGGACATGAGGCATCTGCCGATAATTCGGTGGGGGTCGACGCGGCAATCCCGTCGCCCTAACGACGCCGTGTCGGGCGACGAGATTGCCACGCCGCGCTCGCAATGACGGATCGGTCCGCATGGTTCCGTTCGCATGGTTTGCGATCACTGCTTCACGATGTCGGGACTGGGTGAGATGAAAAGGTGAGTGACTTACCTCCTGTTTTCCGATGGTCTGCTTGCGGTTTTGATTTGGGTGTCAGGCGTTGCGGTTTCGGGTGGGTGTCGGAGCACGGCCAACACTGTTTTTGAGCGCAAATCTTTTGAGTCCCAAGCTTCCGTGACCCGCGGGGAACCGGCCAAGGAGGCCGGCGCCATGCGGCACGGGGCGGAGGTGACACCCGCCGGGTCGTAACGCGGCCGCCCCGCGGAATAGAACGGGTAGCGGCAGCTGCCGACCATGATGCGAAGAACCGACTGGGCCGTTGCCGACCCGAAACCGTATCGCCTAGCTATTCAGATTTAGGTTCGGCGACGCCGCTGGCCTGGCGGCGGTTCCGGCGGGGGTCGCGAGGCCGCGCCGGGATTGCCTGACAAGGCTATTATAGAACATAAGTACTGTTCGCGCAAGAGGCCGATGTCATTGGGGCAGGGTCGTTGGATTGTCGCCGTGGGGAATGACACGACGCGGCGGCGGGGCAACGCATCGGTGTTTGGCAAGAGCCGTTGCTACGGCGACGAGATTGCCACGCTGCGCTCGCAATGACAGTTTGGGTTGTTCGCAGTGGCATTCGAGCATCGGGGCATGACGTTCCGGGAAACTGAATGACCCTCGGTCATCAGGGGCGCATGATTGCGGGGATTCGCCTGGGGACGCGGGTGAGCAGGGCAGCGTATCGATTCGCGGGCGGCCTTGATTTGCGGGCGGCGTGGATTTGCGGGATGATGGGCTGGCCGCTGACACGGCGTTCGGATTGAACACGAGAAACGCACGGGAGGCAGAACAATGAGCGACCTGGTATTGCGGACCGCGATGGGCAATTACGGGCACACGACGCCGCTGAAGGACGGCACGATCACGTCGCCGGCGTTCAGCATGGAACAGATCGAGGTGTCGCCGGTTACCAGCATCTTCCGGCGGATGGTGCGGGAGCTGGAGTTTGACGTGGCGGAGATGGCACTGTCCACGTACCTGTGCGCCCGAGCGCATGGCAAGCAGTTCACCGGCGTGCCCATCTTCCTGACCCGGGCCTTCTACCACGGCGGCATCGTGGTGAACCGGAAGAGCGGGATCGAATCGCCGAAGGACCTGGAGGGCAAGCGATTCGGGGTGCGCAGCTACACGCTGACGCCGGGCGTCTGGACGCGGGGCCTGCTGCAGACCCGGTACGGGGTGGACCTGGACGCGGTGACGTGGGTGCTGTCCGGCGACGAGCACGTGGCGGAGTACGTCGCGCCGGCCAACGTGGTGTCGTCGTCCAACAACAACCTGGGCGAGATGCTGCTGTCGGGCGAGATCGACGCGGCCATCGGCGCGGGGCCGGTGGACTCGCCGGACATCCGGCCGTTGTTCGCCGAGCCGGATGCCGCCGATGCCGCGTGGCACCGGGAGACGGGCGTCTATCCGATCAGCCACATGCTGGTGGTCAAGAACGCCGCGCTGGATGCCAACCCCGACCTGGCGGGTGAGCTGTTCGAGACATTCAACACAGCCAGGGCCCTCTACCTGGGGAAGCTGCGCTCAGGAGATGCCGCGGGACCGGAGGACCGGGTGCTGCACAAAATGGTGGACATGGTGGGCGAAGACCCGATCCCGTACGGCGTCGAGAGTTCGAGGAAGACGCTGGAGACGTTCGTGGGATTCAACGTGGAGCAGAAGGTGATACCGGAGGCCATCGCCGTCGACGAACTGTTCCCGGAGGAGACGCTGTCGCTGCGGTAAGTAGGTGTGGTCCGCGCGCTCTTTGTGTTGCTGACACGGTTGGCTCGATTTGACGAGCGGTAGCAACTACAATTGCTACCTGTTGTGGAAGCTTTGCTAGTCAGCGCCGGTAGTTGGGCCAGCCTATCGGGAGCGATACTATCAACCATAGGATTGATCGCCACGATAATTGTGGCGTGGGGCGCCAGATCGGCTTCGCGGGCGGCGCGTGCGGCTGCTGTCGCTACTAACAGCCGAATTGAGAGTCATCTCCAGTCGGTAGATCTAGAGCGAGCGATCGCGTTGATACAACGCATCAAACTTTTGCACGATACCGAACGGTGGGAGGCGGCCATTGAGCAATACCAATCTCTACGAATGATGGTGTATGGGTTCATTGCCCGAACTCTTGAAGATCAAACCGCATTTCGGGAGAAACTTACGGTTGCCACGGCGATTGTCACCACCATGGAAAACTCTGTGCGGAGAAGAATGCGCCAGGGTATCGGTGATCCCGACTGGCCCGCACTTGAAGAAAGCCTGAACGAGATCCAAAGCACCCTGGAGGAACTCGCGAGCGCAATGGGATTTGGGCAAATTTCGGAGGAGTCGGCATGAATGAGTTGGAGAGCATCCTGGACGGTTTGATTCGGCGTACATCCGACGGGAAACTCAGGTGGAGTAGAGCCGCTGAAGCTAATCAATTCGTGACGGCAGTAGACACGATAGCGGTAATCGTACGTCGAAGAGATGTACACTCCTCATTACGCGACGATGCGGTGGCTGCGTTCGAATTGGAAATCCTAGACGAAAAAGGTACGTTAATCGAAACTTTTGGATCACGCGGCAGACCGGCAACATCCGAACAACGTGGAAAGTTGTCGCGCTTGCACGACCTAGCGCGATATTCCGCGCTGAATGTTCAGCAAACCCTGGAGAAGCTGGCTAAAGCGCTCGAAGCCTAGCGCGACTTGACGGGTGAGCTGTTCGAGACATTCAACACGGCCAGGACGCTCTACCGACGGATCGGCCCGGTGAACCCGAGGAAGACAGCATGGCGCAAGAACTGCTCACGGACGACCAAAAGGCCGGGATCGAAGAGATCACTCGCAGAGACTTGACCGGTAGGTTCGGCAATGCAGTGACCTTCCCACGCATCACGGTGCTCACCAAAACCGACGAATTCGATGACCCATACGTGCACATCCGGATTAGGTATGCAGGAGATGGGGATGTCCTTGACCCCGCATGGCTCAACGGATTCAACAGGCGAAACCGCGTGGCATTCCGGCAGTATGGAGTGACCGGCATAGTCACCCAGTCGTACGTCGAGGAAAGCGAAGACAGCGAATGGTCTGGCTTGGGGAGAATGGCGCCGTACCACGGAGACGGTGAATGAACTGGGAGCAACTCATCGCAATCAGTAGATTGCTGGCGGAGCCACCGGAATACGGCGAAGCCGGAGGACGCCCTCAGCAAGCCAGGCTACGCCGGGCCATCAGCACAGCCTATTACGCCATGTTCCACGCTTTGGCTGAGAACAACGCCAACATCCTTATCGGGTCGTCCTCCGATCTGCGAAGCTCAGCAGAGTGGACACGAACCTACCGAGCAATCAACCATGGCACGGCAAGGACCCAGATGCGGGCATTGGAGACCAACCAGTTCCCATATCCCATATCCGACTTCGCAGAGACATTCGTTGACCTACAGACCCAGCGGCATGACGCGGATTACAACCCGCGGGCCGCTTTCACCCGATCGGAGACCTTTAAGCCCCAATCCACCGAAGAGATGATTGTGGCGGTGTGCTGAAGGGATAAGAAAGTGCCCCGTTGCTTCTGGGATAATGGTTTGTGAAACACCAAACCGACCCAAAAGAAGGAGCACCAAATAGATGCTACCACGTAACGACCCCCGACCGCATCCAGATCGCCTGCGACGACCACGCCTGTCAGCAATGCTGGGCTGATCCTTCCGTCCACCTGGCACTGCATCTGGGCCTGCCCCAACTGGTTGATCGGCACCTGGACCTGGCCGTGCCCCAGCGGAGCCAACACGGGCGACCAGATCATGACGCTGGTGGCCTCCGCCCTGGCTGGGGGCGACTGCATCGACGATGCCGACGGGTTGCGTCGCGGGCAGGACGCGCGCGGTGCTGGGCTGCGTGGTCAAGGCGCCATCCACCCTGGGCACGTTCTGCGCAGCTTCCGTTGGGGCCACGCCGCCAGCTGGATCGGGTGAGCCGGGGAGTTGCTGGCCCGGGCCTGGGCCGCTGGGGCGGGACCCCGATCTTTGAACAATCACGGACCGTGACCATCGACCTGGACCCCACCATCTGCGAGACCTACGGTCCGGCCAAGGAGGGAGCCCGCCACCACGGCTACACCGGCCACCACGGCTACACCGGCCACCACGGCTACACCGGCCAGCGGGGCTACACCGGCCACCACGGCTACACCGGCCAGCGGGGCTATCACCCGCTGCTGGCCGTCGCCGCCGGCACCGGCGATGTGCTGATGGCCCGGCTCAGGGAAGGTCGCGCCAACACCGCTCGGGGCGCCGCCCACTTCCTGCGTGAGACGATGGGAAGGTTACGCTACGCCGGAGCCACCGGACTACTCACGGTGCGGGCCGATAGCGGCTGCTATAACCACGCCATGGTGTCCACCTGCCGCAGCTGGATGCCCGCTCTCCATCACCATCCGCCAACACCAGAGCCGCGCAACCAGATCGAGGCCATACCCGAGGGGACTGGACGCCCCATACCCCTACTGGATGGACGGCGCTGCCGACGTGGCCGAGACTACCTACATCCCCTTCGAGAGTGCGCCCGACGCCGCGCCGGTGCGGCGCATCGTCCGCAGAGTGCAGCCCACGCCCGGTTCTCAACTGGCCCTCTTGGTCGACTACAGCTATCACGGCTTCATCACCGACCGGGACGGAGGCACTGAACTGGAGGCACTGGAACTGGAGGCCGATCATCGCCCGCCACGCCGAGATCGAGAACGCCATCCGCGACCTCAAGTACGGCGTGGGACTGAACCATCTCCCCTCAGGGCGTTTCGCCGCCAAGTCCCCTTGCAATCTACGGCCTGGCTGGCGTCCAGGTGATGGCCCACAACCTGGCCCACTGGGCTGCGCGCATCGGTCTGGGCGAGCAACTGGTGACCACCAAGACCCTCCGACGGCGGTTCTTCTCCATCGCCGGACGGCTCACCGCTCGGCGCGCCGCCTCACTCGGCATCTTCCCCAGCGCTGGCCCTGGGAAAACCAGTTCACTCACGCCTGGGCCCGAGTGCGCGCCGTTCCCCTACCAGCCTGACGACGCGCCGTCGGCGCCCAACCCGTCCGCCGGACAACCCATGGGCTGTCCCGCCGACCCATGCCAGCCCAGCCCGCCAGCGCCACTTCCGGCATGCCGCCTGGCCGTTTTCGCCTGCCGCCGCCACTGCGGGCCAGTACCTTGCCACTGGCGTGGCCGCCACCGACCGCCCTGAACCACATCTATTGGCGATCGGGCCGGGCTCGTTCGCCTTTCTTACCCATCATCCCTCACGTCAACGCTAGAACCGCATCCCTTCGGTGGATTCGGGCTAAAGCCATCGGTAGGGCAGAAGAAGCCGTCAAGCGATTCATTGAACTTTCGACCCGGGATCGACGGGCGTTCGCAGCCCAAGCCCTGTTCGGCGCGAGGCGGTGACTGGCGCAAGGCTAACCAGGGCCTGCACCGGGATAACGGGCGGGAAATGCGAACGGGGGCGCAACATTTGCGTCCCCGCCTCTGTATGGGAGATCGCTGTTTGCGATCAGACCGCCACCGCTTCTTCGTAGGTTGCGTTGCCGGTTTGGTTTTCGGGGAAGATTTGCCAGTCGAGCATCCAGC